CATTTGTAAATTTGTACCCCCATCCCTCAATGATGTAATAACTTAGGACTTTACATTTCCATAATTTATTTGCTTTTAAACATAAATGCTAGTAATTAGGGTGTGTATGACAAGATATGAAATCAACAAATAGATAACCCTAATCAAGACAAAATGCATGTAAATCAAACACACTTGCACACTAGCACCCCTTAGGATAATCTCACATGTTTCCTATCGGAAAAATAGTCATGTCCCTCGAACATGGGCATTTTAGCAAAGACCCTCGATAAAAGATCATAGTCCCTCGATGACCCTCGATGTTGCCTTCGGTAAACGATCTAGTCCCTAAATGACATTGCTAAAACGTCCATAGGTTGCCTTCTATGACTATACAAACGTCCCAAAGCCCGTCCCTTCACATCCAACGATAGGGCTTCTTACCAAATCAATGGTAAGATAGCAACATCTAAAGGAGGAGGAGAAGAATATCTAATACCTTTTGAGTAGGTAAATTTGCTCCTAGTTGCTCGCTTGCTCACAACAAAAACATTTTTATACACCCACACTCTCATTTTGAAACATTTTCGAAAGACAACACTTTGTACGCATTCTTATATAGACGAGAACCATTACAAAGACACCTTTTCAAAATCACTTCCAAAAACATATCTCACAAACACATCTTTGAACTATTTTTCAAACAAACACTTTTTACGCGTTCTTATAGAGACGAGAAAATTACAAAGACGTTTTCAAAATACTTTAAAAACCCACACCACAAGCACATTCAAACAAAATCAAGTGGTCTAGAAAGCAACTAAGAGCCCATGGAAAAACATGGATGAAAAGGGTGCTAATACCTTCCCTTTTCATAATCTACCCCCCGAACTCAAGAAATAATCTCAAAGGTCTTTCCTGTGCTTTTTCACCTTTCCTTTTGGATAAAAGAAAAGTCGGTGGCGACTCTTGCTAACCATAACATTTGCGATAAAACACAAAATAATACCCTTCAACATGATCAAAAACCCTTACTTGAATGAAGAAAAATATCACATGTGTCCTTATTATTACATGATTATTTAAACATGTCTGCATATGATAAACCTTATGATATGCCTAAACACGTTTTATGAAATCTTATTTTAGACATCTCAAAAATAACATCTTTTAGACAAAACACGTGTTTCTTTATATGACATGATATAATTCAAATCTTTGCCATGTATAAGTTTCCCTCATCACTACTCATTTCTTGCATTTCATAAATGGTTCAACACTTATGATGTTATTTTCATGTGATCTATCCTTACTTATCATGATTGTGATGTTTAATAAAATTCATTATACCATGTATTATTACATTAATCTTCTTTCAACATTTCATGATATTTTCTGAACATGAGCGCATATTTGCATTTTTTTACCCACCTTTTTAATTTTGACAAAGGGGGAGAAGTATACTCTTAGGGGGAGGGTATCATTCTAAAATATATATTTCTTTGTTTCTTTTACCACCTTCCCTGAGAGTTATCTTGTCATCATAAAAAAAAAATCTTATATTGCAAGCAATCAGTTTTCTTTTGATGAGGACAACTATGAAGCACATAATAGATATTCAACATAATAAATATGCAAAATGATGAAAACTGTAAAAGATCAAAAAAGATAACATTAAACATAATAAAGATGAAAGCATTATGAAAGTTAACAAATGTACTTAAGCATTTAAAGATGCAATCCATGGGTTTGATAAAGAATTGGCAAATTTCAGACATCGACAAAGTCTCAAACAAAGGAAAACAAATGTATTACATCAAAATCCTCAAAATAAATCTCAGAGCAAGTGTCAACCCAAAAGAATCTATTAGACAATGCTTAGAGGAGTCAATATCCTAATTTAGTAAGTGAATGAAACTTTTGTAAAAGTAAAAGTTATTTCTCTATAGAAGTAGATGGCTATAAGCATACACTCACACACTTAAAAACTTTTTTAAAAATTATTTTGATAATAAAAAACTTTGAAGAAAAATATATAAGTTGCATGGAAAAAGATTAGAGCATTGAAAAAGCCAAGAAAAATATTTTTGACTAAATCTAATTGATTAGAACAAAGTGTCAACCGATTAGATTAGCGCGTTCTTGAAGAACAAGGAAATTTGAGTGCACTCAAATGATTAGCAAATGCTATATATCTCTTCTTTCCTATTTTGAAACTCATAGTCGTTATTTTAAATGACCTAATATATTGGCTTAATCGATTAACAACAGTCATGTTTGCTTTAATGAAGTTTCATCTTTTGAGGATTTTCAATCCTATAAATAGATGTCTCATTCATTGTTTCATTTCATCCAGAAATATTTTTGTGTATTGACACACACACACACACACACACACACACACACACACACTCTCTCTCTCTCTCTCTCTCTCTCTCTCTCTCTCTTTCTAAGTTTTATTTTTCACTTTCTCTCACTAGTTCTTATAGCCAAATGATTTTATGAGGAAAGATCTCTTGTGAGTGAGGTGTTCTTGTAATTATATATGGGTAGCATTGTATAAGTTCTCCAAGAATGTTGTTTATTCATCTTGGATGAACATAATCTTTTTAAGGATAAACATTTGTGGTTAAAAGCTAAACTCGTTAAAAGCTTTGGTTATGGATTGTATGACAAGTTCCTATATTTATTTAGGTTAAAGATCATTAATATTGATGAACTTCCCCTAGGATCTTAGTTAGCCTCGTTTGAAGGTTGAAGATTGTCAATATTGATGAACTTATCATTGGTTCATGGTTAGCCTGTTTAAAACCATAGGTTAGAAGATTAACTTGTTAAAATCTCAAGAGGTTATTAGTTATCATGTTAAACCAAATTGAGCTTAGTTATTTTTGTGGAGAGAAGACTAATCACTTTAATCTACAATTGAAAAGGAAGCTTGACCACTTCAGTCTCATCAATTTCAATGGAGAAGATGAAAACGATCATATCTTCTTTCTTGTAATACTTTAGTTGTATGACAAATATCATTTCCTTGTATAAGGGGGTTCATGAGTTTTACCTATTAAAAGCTCTCAAGTATATAATAGAAACTCTCAAAATCAATTCTTGGGGAGAGGAGTATGTCCCTTTTATTATGACTGAACCTCTATAACTCTTGGTGTTTTTATTCTTCCCTTAACTATTTTATATTCTGAACTTTATTTTGATATATAGGTTTATATTCCACTACTAAGTCTTGAAAAACCTTGTAAACTCTTACAGATCTTAGGAAACCAAAAGATCAACTGTTTATGGTGCTAGAAAACCAAAAGTGTCAAATGCAAATGGTATAAAAGCATGTTGATTGTTAGAACACGCTTTCTCATGTTTGACCACTTTACTTGAGGTAGCTTTAAAAGCTGGTTGTCCCATGGTAAAACTACCAGTTCTCATTCCCACCAGTGGGAAAACACCGGTCAAGTCCATACAAGTATGTTTCCCTCTTACCCATTCGTACACCAGAACATGTGTTGGCCTAAGTATTGATCTTCCCTCAAGTGGGTCAATAAAAAATTCGCAAACGCCTCTTTCTTCACAAATTTTAATTTGTTATGATATTCTTTGCACCAATTTTGTGTACGTTGAAATTGTATACATGTATGTATGTTGATAAAGATGGGATGAGAATGTATATTTGTGAATTTTTGCCTTTTGTCTTATTTTAATTTGTTGACTTTTTATGGAAAAAATAAATATAACTTGGTAAAGAAGAAAATTGGTAAAAGAAATAAAAGTGATAATCATACATTATAAAATGCAAACTCAATTTGTTTATTACGTGAATTTGTGCAACATAAACTCAATTTGCGTGTTATATGAATTTGTGCCATGTAAATTCAATTCGCGTGTTATGTGAATTCTCTAAAATAAATTCTTTGCAGACTAGAATGTGCTTGATGAAAAGATGAAACATGGTGCTAAATGATAAAAGAATTATAGTTCCTTGAAAAATGCCAAATATGGTAAAGATGTGAAGAATTGGACCAAGTGTAAATATGAAAAGAACATGCTCAAATAAAGCTAGAGTGTGACAACTGTCTCTATTTAATTACCTTTAAACAGAGAATATAAATGACACCCGTCTTCGTATAATCATGTTGAACTATAATTAAATACAAAGAGGACCCTCAAAATCCTTTATTTAATTACGAGTCTTGACAAAAGCCTTTATTTAGTGAATGGACATTGCAAGGATAACGCCTGGTCATCTTCAACCCGAAGTGTTGATACCTAGACCGGAAAAAAGATAAAATGTTCGTCTTTAACCAAAAGGCTGTTACCTGGACCAACAATAAGATAGGATAGTCGTCTTCAACCCGAAGGGCTGATACCTAGACCTACAAAAAGATAAAATGGTTGTCTTCAACCAAAAGGATAATACCTTGATCAACAATAAGATATGGTAGTCGTCTTTAACCAGAAGGTTGATACCCAGACCGATAGAAGGATAAAATGGTTGTCTTTAACCAAAAGGATAATACCTAGATCAATAAAAATATAAAATGGTTGTCATCAAGTAACATGCTGATACTTAAATCGGTAAAGAGATAAAATGGTCATATTTAACCAAAAGGTTGATACCTAGACCGATAATAAGATAAAACGTCTATTGTCAAACAAAGGTTAAAACCCATACTGACAATAAGAAATGATAGTCGTCTTCAAACTAAGGTTGATACCTAGACCAACGGAAGGATAAAATGGTTGTCTTCAACCAAAAGGTTGATACCTGGACTGACCAAAAGATAAAATGGTCATAGACAACCAATAGTTTGATACCTATATCAACGTAGAGATAAAAAGGCCGTCTTTAACTAAAAGATTGATACTTGGGCAGACAATAAGATAAAATGGTCGTGTTCAACCAAAGGCATATAGTTAGACCGACAAAAAGATAAAATGGCCGCCATCAACCAATAGGCAGATAAGTAGACCAAGAGAGCGATAAAATGGTCGATTTCAACCAAAAAAGCTAATAGCTAGACCGATAAAGAGATGAAATGGTTGTCTTCAACCAAAAAGGCTGATACATAAATATCGTCACCAACACGAGGATTGATACCTAGATCGATAATAAGATCATAACCAACACAAGTGTTAATACCTATATCAACAACAAGATCGTCACCAACCTGAAGGTTGATACCTAGATCAAAAAAAGTTAGTCATCAACACAAGTGTTAATACCTAGATCGACAACAAGATTGTCACGTCACTAACATGAGGGTTGATACCTAGATCAATAATCAGGTCATCATTAATATGAGTGTTGATACCTAGATTGATAACAAGATCATCATCAACACAATTTTTAATACCTGGATCGATAAAAAAGATCATTACCAACACGAGGACTGATACCTAGATCGACAACAAGATCGTCACTAACACAAGTGTTGATACTTATATCAACAATAAGATCATCACTAACACAAGGGTTAATGCCTAGATCGACAACAAGATCGTTATCAACATGATTGTTCATACCTAGATTGACAAAAATATCGTCACTAACATGAGTGTTGATACATAAATCAACAACAAGATTGTCACCAAGATGACTATTGATACCTATATCAACAACAAGTTCATCACCAACATGTGGGCTAATACCTAGATTGATAACAAGATTGTCACCAACATGAGTGTTGATACCTATATCAAAAAAAAGATCATCACCAACACAATATTGATGCCTAGATAAAAAATAAGATCTTCACCAACCTGAAGGTTGATACCTAGATCAACAACAAGATCTTCATCAACATGAGTGTTAATACATAGATCGACAATAAGATCATCACCAACACGAGTGTTGATACCTATATTGACAACAAGATCGTCACCAAAATGAGTGTTGATATCCAGATCAACAACAAGATCATCACCAACATGAAAGCTGATAACTAGATCAACAACAAGATCGTCACGAACATGAGTGTTGATACCTAGATTGACAAAAAGATCACCACCAACAGGAGTGTTAATACCTACATCGATAACAAGATAGTCATTAACACGAGTGTTGATACCTAGATTGACAACAGGATTGTTATCAACATGAGTATTGATACCTAGATTGACAACAAGATCATCATCAACATGAGTGTTGTTACCTAGACCGATAACAAGATCTTCATCAACACATGTGTTAATACCTAGGTCGATAACAAGGTTGTCACCAACACGAGAGCTGATATATATATATATATATATATATATATATATATATATATATATATATATATATATATATATATATATATATATATATATATATATATATATATATATATATATATATATATATATATATATATATATATATATATATATATATATATATATATATATATATATATATATATATATATATATATATATATATATATATATATATATATATATATATATATATATATATATATATATATATATATATATATATATATATATATAACAAGATCGTCACCAACACGAGTGGTGATACCTAGATCAATAAAAAGATGGTCACCAACATGAGTGTTGATACCAAGATCAACAACAAGATCGTCATCAACACGAGTGTTATACCTAAATCAACAATAAGATCGTCATAAACACGAGTGTTGATACCTAGATTGACAACAAGATCATCATCAACATGATTATTGATACCTAGATTGACAACAAGATCGTCATCAACATGAGTGTTGATACCTGGATCGAGAACAAAATCGTTACTAACACGAGGGTTGATACCGAGATCGACAACAAGATCGTCACCAACATGAGTTTTGATACCTAGATGAATAACAGGATCATCAGTAACACGTATGTAAATACCTAGATCGACAACAAGATTGTCAACACGAGTATTGATACCTAGATCGACAACAAGACTATCATCAACACGAGGATTGACACTTAGATCGACAACAAAATTTTCATCAACATGAGGGTTGATACCTAGAACGACAACAATATTTCAAGTGAGTGTCATACATGATTCGCGTTATGCATGATAATTGAATGATTTGTTTCTTTGCGTGAAGCATGATTATTGTTTATGTGATATGTGTTTGAGAAATGCATGATGAATGATTGATACATGCAGTGTGTTGATTTCAAAGAGAACCAATGAAAATTGGGTTTTCTTTGTGAGGTGCCATGCAAGGCTGGTTTTTGTAAGGTGACACCAATGAAGATTGGGATTTTGGTTGTAGATGTTTGATTTTGTTGCTTATGTTTTAAGGCTTTTGATAATGTCAGATTCATGCTATAGAAATATGTCTAGATGAATGAGATGAAATGCATGGCTTGATTCTAGAGAAATACAACATGATTAATGCATGATGGTGATTTATTTATGAAATGACTTGAAGGCTTCCAAAAGTGCCCATGTGCCAAGCAATGGACGAAAGGATTGAGAAAAGTTTTTTCCTAACAAAGCTTCTCGTCAAGAGAAAAGGTTATTTGATAGATTATTATGCTAACATGATCTCCTATCACTCATTTTGAACTTAATGGTTGTTGATGTATCGTAGAGTTTGCTTGCACAACTTGAAGTATGGAGAGAACTTGCCTCCATCATTTATTCAACTTACATTGCCCCAGTCTATTGGGTCTTTGGAGAAATTTGCTTCAAAATGAGTTTTGAAACAACTCGCAATAATATGACTTTGAGATGGCTTTATCCAATATTTTTAACCTTGAAGCAGTCTTCCCCTGATTAACTAATTTTTGGAATAACTTTCCCTTTATCAACATAGTCTTTAGGTGATATGCCCTTGATCAATTAGGGTTTCTAAGCGATTTTCCCCTGATGTGGCTGATTCTTAAAGTGATTTTCCCTTGACAGGACCACTTACGAATGACTAAGGCCCTTAGATGGCTGCACACTGCTAGAACTTCCTTGGTGATAAGTGCTGAATTGCAGATAAAATTGTTCCTTTAGGATGGTAATTCTAATGCAATGCTCATGCAGATTCTGAAACCAAAGTCATTATTGAGATAATGTTGTGATGTAAAATGAATGAGTCAATGATTAGAACACAATGTTGATCTAATATTCAAAGTGTAAAGTTAGCAATGCGAGAACATGGTATACTTAAAGATGATTAACAAGTATCTTTGAACTCAGGTTAACACAATCTTGTTGTAGTATGATTTCAAAATAAGCCTTTCTTAAATTAGGTATTTTGAACGGTATAATATGGTCTGGTTCATGGTTTTTAAATAAAAGGATATAAGGCTCAAAATTTTAATTTTAACTCACCCATTCTCTTTCTGATGATCTTCATTCCTACATTCAATTAATTTGACACACGCATTCAAATAACAAGAGAATTTTTTAAGGTGAAGATATGATGGTTCAAGAACTTATATAATTTTTTTGAGGTGGTTTTCTTTTCTCCTTTTTTTTGACATGGTAGTCACCTAATCTTGTTCTTTTTGTTAAGGACTTTGGTGACCTTTTTTTTTCTTCTTTTTTTTTGTTGCTTTTTATCCCTAATTTTTGTCTGGACCACTCTTTCGAATTTTCAGTCCACCAAGATGCCCTAATTTTTTCCTAAGTCATATTTTCGAGTGCTCAACTTAGCGGTATTTTTTCTATTTTTGTAACAATTTCCGCAAAATTTGTTCTTTTGCCTTGATTTGGGCAAGGATCGTGACTGCCATGGTATTGGTTATTGAAGAACTACCTCTATAAGCTTTTGGATTTTCATGACTTCTTCGACACTTCATGATGTGTGTGGGGAAGAGAATGTGGTTTAACCTCTTATTAGAAGGTATGTAGATGGAATAATTCTCTAGAATTTTGAATACATAATCAAAATAACTGAAAACTACCTTGCCTACCTTGCCCCTGGTTAAGATTAAGGGTTTTTAATTAATACAAAAGAAACACCAACTTTTAGGCTCAAAGAGGTTGACTGAGGATTAAATTTTCTTAACTCCTTAGTGTTTGGGAAGTGAAACAATGTCTTACATCGTTGCAAGGTTTTATTAAAAATCATACTTTAGTAATTTTGGGTATTTTGTTTACATCTCCCTACATCCAATATTTGCTTGAACGAAAGTTTTATAAAATAAAGTGAGGTAGAGAAATATTGATATTGGTTTTTTCTTTTTTTGTGTGATAAAAAGAAAAAAAAATGATTGAATACGAAAGTATTAATTCAAAACATGCATGCTCATTTCACTAATACTACCATTCAAAAAGTAACAAGTTTAAAAGCAAATAGTACTTAAAAAACAAGGAAATTACAAATGAAGATGAAAAAATGGCCTAATGATCATTAACTTTGAGGATGAGCTTTCCTATCTGATTCATCGGCTTTAGGATATTCTTCTCTAAGTCTTGGAACTCATTTAAACTAGGGGTTTCTCATTACAAGGGGCCCTCTTCCTCGAAAGTCAACGACTTGTTGTCAATCAGCTCTTTCACCTTAGCTTTGAAACCCGTGCAATCTTCAGCTGAATGTCCTATTGTTCCAGCATGGTATTCACATTTAACATTTGTGTTGGACCATTTTGGAATTTGAGATATCAATTGTTTGAGTGATTTGGGATATAATCATGCATTTAGGACTATGTATGGCAACAACTGACTGTATTTCATATGTATAGGGTCAAAACAATGATGTATTCCCCCTTGGTTAACCCGAGGTCTGATTTGAGCTTGATTCTGGTTATACTAAATCCAACTTTGCCTTTGAGAATTTTGAGGAGGAGTAGACCAAGGTTGTTGGTGTGGAGGTGGGCATTGATGTATAGTTGGTGATGAAGCTGCCACATATGGAGACTAATAGTATGGTGCTAGAAATGGTGACTGATGAAAAAGCGGGGGACCGTAAGGTATTGTCGGTGTACCATGATAATACCTGACACTTGTTGTGAATGCATTGGCCTCACCCTCTTTTTTCTTCTAGAAGTCGCTAGGGGATTTCTTATCACCAATATGACTACTCTAGGTGCCTTAGATTTTCACACTATTGAGGCCATTTTATGTGTTCCCAAATTATCACCAGATCATAGAACCCTGACGATGCATTCCCTATTATCTTCTCATAATACGGGCCTTGCAGGGTACCCATAAACATGTCAACCAACTCCCTTTCCAAGAGCGATGGTTGTACTCAAGCTTCCAGTTCTCTCCACCTTTGTGCATATTCTTTGAGGGGTTCATTGTTTTTCTGCATCAGAATCTACAATTGTGTACAATTTAGTTCCATATTAGTGTTATACTTGTATTTCTTCAAAAATGCATCAACTAGATCTTTCCAAGTATGAACTGGATTCTCTCCAGCTGCATGTTCTAATCTAATGATGCCTCACATAAACTATTCTAGAAGCAGTGGATCAACAATTTCCCATTACAAGAATAAATAGCCATTTTTCAAAGTCAGACACTTTAAATTTAGGAGGTATGACTACATATGATACTAAGCACACGTCGAAAGCATCAAAATTGTATGCATCATGTCCTTTCATAACTCTTAGTCGCTCCTTTAACACATGATATTTTTCAGCAGATCCAACATTCTGGGGATTCTCACCGATCGTCACCGGATGTGCACCTTGAGGATTTGGCATATAGTTTTCAAGTTGATGATACTCGATAGCATCATGTGGTGAGGCATGCCTATCTTGGACAGTGGGATCTCATGCATGGTAGGGCCCTCATTCACGTTAGACACCATGATTGGCACAAGACGAGGTTGGGCAAGATTGTCCACTTGTAGTGGATATAGCCATGAGGAAGGCTTAATGGTTGAAACGGTGCAGTTACTATTGGAACCAGTTGCAAATTTAAATTAGATCCAAATGAAGAAGTGGAGTTCTCAACATTCACGACTATTTAAGAAGTGTCCTCTCTTTGCCAAAGCTAACATGGCCTCTATGAGTCGGTCCAATTTTCCTTTCATTGCATCAACATCTGCTCTTAATGCAACTTGGTTTTGTTCTAGCTGGTCAATGATCCTTCGAGTGTTGCTTCGGGTTCAATATGACTGTCAGGGAATCAACTTGCTAGTTATGGACAAGCGATAGGATGATTTTTTCGTATTTTTATGGAGAAATGTATGCATGTTGAAGAATGTGGACGCATGAAATTTTTCTTTTGTTTTTTTTTTAAATTCAATGCCATGCAATGTATAAATACTTATGAACGAAATGCGATATGCTGAGAGTTTTTTTTCAAAAAGAAAGAAACACTACGCCAAGTGCGAGCTCATGAAGGTGCTGAGTAATAATGATACAGGTAAACGCATAACATAACTACCTATTTAGGACGGTTCCTTACGATAGGATAGTTTCGTGTTTTTTCTACTTAAACTACTCGCAAATGTTAGCTCTAGGGTTTTTTATAAAAGGATCATGAGTCACAGATCTTAATCGAAATTTTACCATGCAACGAACTAGTCATTTTTTGACAAACTTTCTAGAAAAGATCTACTATATACAAGATCTTATGTTAACCATACAAGGAGTACATCCCGGTGCCAACACTATGTGACCACCGTACTCGTCTGGTTCTAAAAAGGATCCTGGAGTACGGACCTTAATCATAATTTTCCATATGCTACAAGCTAGCCCTTTTATGACAAACTTCATAAAGAAGATCTACTCAAGGAGGGGTTTCATGATAACCATACAAGGTGTACACCTTGGAGTTCAATACCATGCAACCTCCAGTCTTAACAATACATTTTCGGTTCTAGACAAGGTTCCTAGAATCACAGACCTTAATCGGAATTTTGTCATGCAACGGGCTAGCCGTTTTATGGAAAACTTCACAAAGAAGATCTACTCTAGGTGGAGTCTTATTGTTAGCCATAAAAGGTGTACACATTGGGGACTAACACTATGCAACTACCGCTTAAACTTAGGATTTTTCTCAGACTCGGGTATAGATCCTTGCACAACATGTGAAATCAATCAGAAAATCCAAACCACAACACATTATAATCACATAATAGATAAAAGTTAATATTAATCACACATCAATAAAAAATAAAGTATGATAGAAGAAACCAAATAATCAAAGCTAACACTTATAACAAATTCGACTAAACTAGGCTTGACTCTTTAGAAGTCCCCAGAAGAGTCTCCAGTTGTCGCAGTACAAAAATACTCGAGTGAATGAATACTCGAAATTCAAAAAGAGTCTCCACCAAAGTTTATTTTTTAAAATGGAAAACATCTATAAATCTCTAAAAGAACAAAAAGTTGGTCATCACAACCAAATTCAGGTTCGGGAGTCGATTATGCACAAGAAAGGTATTAACACCCTACACATCATTGTACTCAACGAGAACCGTTTAGTTAGTTTTGAAAATAAGAGTGTTAATGTAAGTTATTTTATTTATTATAATTATTATTATGTATTTACAAAGAGAAATAAAGGAATAGAAATGTATATTTTTATTAGAGTGTTTGACGAGACGTTGAATCTAGCTCCTACATATCCTCAGGTGCGATGGGGAACTCAAAGATATATAGTTCTTTGTAGCTAATGGTTATGTGTTGGTTGATTTTAGGGTTTGATGTTTAAGTCACATTTTAGAAGTTAAGTGTTGCTTGTTCGTCATGCATTGGCGAAATAAAGCATTTACTTATATTGCGTTAGAATGGATAAAACATCATTCATTTATGAAAAAGTTTTTGTAGTCGCGATCAGGAAAAAAATAGGTTTGATTGGTTGAAATTATTTTAAGTGGAAGACAAGTAATCATTTTAAACAATGTGTACACCTTACGCTCGATTACTTGAGGATCAACAATATGTACATTTGACACGTCCCTTTTTAATCCAAGTTTGTTGAAAATTATTCTTTGTGGAAGACGAGTAATCATTTTGAAAAAAGACTACACCTTGTGCTCGACTACTCGAGGATCAACTGGATGTACATCTGACACGTCCCTTTTTAATCTGAGCTTTAGTTAAGTGTTTTAGGTGCAAAAAAAATGGTAGTTTTAGATAAAGTGTGCACTTTGCACTCGACTACTTGAGGATCAACCCGATGTACATCCGACATGTCCCTTTTCAATATGAGTTTATTGAAAATTATTCTTTGTTGAAGAAAATTAATCATTTTGAACAAATTATACACCTTGTGCTCGTCTACTCGAGGACCAACCTGATGTACATCTGACACATCACTTTTTAATATGAGTTTTAGTTAAGTGTTTTAGGCATAACACTAGTGGTCATTTTGAACAAAGTTTACACTTTACGCTCGACTACTCGAGGATCAACCAAATGTACATCCAACACG